TTTAAGAGCTTTGCAAGAGTTTATATTTGATTTATTTGTAGTTATACTGAAATGATAATAGTATCACATTTGGGTTTTAGTTCTTAATATTTGATGCAACAATTAATATTCTAAGCTCTACAAAATACATTAACATGAACAACATAAAAGATTGTTTTAAGTTCCATCCATTGCCTTGCCATTGGACTGACGGCTCGTTAAGGAGCAAGTAATCATTGGAAACATTAGATCCTGAACTCAGCTGACATATAACATTTTGTCTTACTAAGTATTTACAAAGAAACTCGGTGACTATTCCGCGTACACACGAGTAAATTATTTATGTAGTTTTGTTTTTAATTTTAGTCTTTAAAAATATGATATATGTAGTTATTTTGATTTTTATTATAGACATTGTTGTTGATTCTTTTGTTGCTAATTATTTTGGTCAATAATATCGTTTTTATTAATAATTTAAATTTCAATAATATTCTTTTGTAATAGAATTTAGAATACAAATACATTATTTAATATTTTATAATATTAAAATATATAATCATAAATTTTATAAATGAAACAAAGATTATAAAAAATTGTTGTTTTCAAATTAAAAATGTTTTTATTACTTTCAAATTATCTTGCGTTGAAAAAAAATATTTTAAAAGAATAATTATATTTGTTGTATGAACTTGGGAATTTTTTTTCACAAACATATCAAAATCTCTTTTAAAAATTTGGAAAGTCTTTTTTTATTATTTTCAAAAAAGAATATATAATGATTATTTCTGTATATGCACTTAGAATATTTCGCTCTATTTTTTATATTCATAAATACCTTTTTTCAGCAATTTGTATTTTACAATTTGAAGGAGTAATTGTATATTTTTGTGAATATTTTTGTTATTCGCTCTATTTTTTTATTGATCTGTTTTTTTAGTTAAATATATTTATCTGATTTTTTTGTTTTATTGTATAATTGAGTTAAACTTAAAAATTGCTACAAATAAAATAAGATCGATTATTCATATTGTAAAGCCAAAAAACATTATTTTGAAAAAGTAACAATGACTAAATAAACGAACGAAATTTAGGAATACATAATTGAAAATCAAATCTTTTTAGGAAGGCAACTAATAATCTTCTTCTCGGTGAGATCAAGTTTTTGATACTAATGTCTTAACTTCATCAATGGAGCTGTTATTCTCATCATCCTTCTTCACTAATACATCAACATAATCTTGTCCCTTATAAT